AAGGGCTGCTGTTGTGTTGGCGAGGTCAAGGGCTGCTGTTGTGTTGCCGAGGTCAAGGGCTGCTGTTGTGTTGGCGAGGTCAAGGGCTGCTGTTGTGTTGGCGAGGTCAAGGGCTGCTGTTGTGTTGGCGAGGTCAAGGGCTGCTGTTGTGTTGGCGAGGTCAAGGGCTGCTGTTGTGTTGGCGAGGTCAAGGGCTGCTGTTGTGTTGGCGAGGTCAAGGGCTGCTGTTGTGTTGGCGAGGTCAAGGGCTGCTGTTGTGTTGGCGAGGTCAAGGGCTGCTGTTGTGTTGGCGAGGTCAAGGGCTGCTGTTGTGTTGGCGAGGTCAAGGGCTGCTGTTGTGTTGCCGAGGTCAAGGGCTGCTGTTGTGTTGGCGAGGTCAAGGGCTGCTGTTGTGTTGGCGAGGTCAAGGGCTGCTGTTGTGTTGCCGAGGTCAAGGGCTGCTGTTGTGTTGCCGAGGTCAAGGGCTGCTGTTGTGTTGGCGAGGTCAAGGGCTGCTGTTGTGTTGCCGAGGTCAAGGGCTGCTGTTGTGTTGCCGAGGTCAAGGGCTGCTGTTGTGTTGGCGAGGTCAAGGGCTGCTGTTGTGTTGGCGAGGTCAAGGGCTGCTGTTGTGTTGGCGAGGTCAAGGGCTGCTGTTGTGTTGGCGAGGTCAAGGGCTGCTGTTGTGTTGGCGAGGTCAAGGGCTGCTGTTGTGTTGGCGAGGTCAAGGGCTGCTGTTGTGTTGGCGAGGTCAAGGGCTGCTGTTGTGTTGCCGAGGTCAAGGGCTGCTGTTGTGTTGCCGAGGTCAAGGGCTGCTGTTGTGTTGGCGAGGTCAAGGGCTGCTGTTGTGTTGCCGAGGTCAAGGGCTGCTGTTGTGTTGCCGAGGTCAAGGGCTGCTGTTGTGTTGCCGAGGTCAAGGGCTGCTGTTGTGTTGCCGAGGTCAAGGGCTGCTGTTGTGTTGCCGAGGTCAAGGGCTGCTGTTGTGTTGCCGAGGTCAAGGGCTGCTGTTGTGTTGCCGAGGTCAAGGGCTGCTGTTGTGTTGGCGAGGTCAAGGGCTGCTGTTGTGTTGGCGAGGTCAAGGGCTGCTGTTGTGTTGCCGAGGTCAAGGGCTGCTGTTGTGTTGCCGAGGTCAAGGGCTGCTGTTGTGTTGGCGAGGTCAAGGGCTGCTGTTGTGTTGGCGAGGTCAAGGGCTGCTGTTGTGTTGCCGAGGTCAAGGGCTGCTGTTGTGTTGCCGAGGTCAAGGGCTGCTGTTGTGTTGCCGAGGTCAAGGGCTGCTGTTGTGTTGGCGAGGTCAAGGGCTGCTGTTGTGTTGGCGAGGTCAAGGGCTGCTGTTGTGTTGCCGAGGTCAAGGGCTGCTGTTGTGTTGCCGAGGTCAAGGGCTGCTGTTGTGTTGGCGAGGTCAAGGGCTGCTGTTGTGTTGGCGAGGTCAAGGGCTGCTGTTGTGTTGGCGAGGTCAAGGACTGCTGTTGTGTTGGCGAGGTCAAGGGCTGCTGTTGTGTTGGCGACGATCGCCCCCTCCTCCTCATCTGCCTACAATGCCACATGGGACACGGCAACAGAGAGCCTGCCAGCATAGTCGGTTCACCTATCCCCCCGCACACGCCTGCCAACAACTACATGTGGGGCACGAGCACCACCTCATTCCGCTTTTGAGTCGACTCCAAGACACCCCCCCCGGCACGCGGCTGCCTCCACCTCGACCTCCACGTGGGACACGCGCACCAACTCATTCCCAAGCGGAGGGGCTTCTGGTGACGGCAAGCGGGGTGTAAGTGTTGTTATGCGGCCATGTACACGGTACAGTGCAGGAAGTGAGTCTCCCCTGAGCCCTGCGGTGCAGAATATAGTTACCCCTGATTTTCTGGGTGTAATGATGTTGCTACCCTGAGCAGGTGGGGCCAAGGGCAAGATGACTGTGGAGGCGCTGGAGAAGATGCTGGAAGACCCTATGGTGCAGAAAATGATCTTCCCGTGAGTTGTTTTGAAGTTCCAATATCCCCGCCTTTCTTTTATTCATCTATTTATTTGTTGGTACTGCTGTTCTCGGCCAGTTGATTATCGCAGTGCATGTTTTGCCGATTCCTTTCCCCATAAATTTTTAGAAGCGTTTTGGTCTCCCTTCCCTTACACAAATTGCAAGTCATTTTATTTTCTGAATGTTTTGCTCTGCAGCTATCTGCCCGAGGAGATGCGAGATCCCGCCACCTTCAAATGTAGGCTCCTCTATCCCTCGTCCCACCAGCTTTGGGTACCATTCTCCCTCGTGTGTTCCCTCCGCCTCCTCTCTCGCCCGCGTCCCTGTAAGCCCACACTGCTTCACCCTTCTACTGTGCCTGCCCCCACGGAGCAGAGCCCCATGTGCCGCCACCAGCTAGCTTACAAATCATGTTCTCCCCTTGGCTCCCGGCTCCATCCCCCTGCCCCTGCCCTTCCCCCTGCCCCTGCCCTTCCCCCTGCCCCTGCCCTTCCCCCTGCCCTTGCCCTTCCCCCTGCCCCGTCTTTCCCCCTGCCCCGTGTGTCCCCCAGGGATGATGCAGAGCCCCATGTACCGCCAGCAGCTAGAGGGCATGCTGTGAGTCTCCCCTCCTCTTCCAACGCCCTCTTTCCCCCAACGCCCGTTTTGCCCCAACGCCCGTTTTGCCCCAACGCCCTTTTTCCAAGCTTGCAGCATGTGCTCCCTTCAGATGCACCAATCCTTCTCTCTCAGCTTTGCAGGGTCTTGTTGAGAATTTCGTAGAACACCCTGTCCCCTTCTCTCAACGTTCTTCCCGATTCCTCCTTGTCCTCGTCCTTTACTTTCCATTGCTCCAATCTCCTGCTTCTCTTGGCTACTTCATCTCCCCCCTTTTCTGCATGCATGCAGTGACAACACGGGTGGCACAGGCTTTGCCGACCGCGTGCTGGACATGATGAAGAGCTTCGACCCCACCAGCTGATCCCCTCTCCTTCCGCTTCCCCCTCGTCCCGCTCTTCCCCCTCCTCCCTATTCCGCATGCATGCAGTGACAACATGGGCGGCACGGGCTTTGACGACCGCGTGCTGGACATGATGAAGAGCTTCGACCTCAACAGCCCGGAAGTCAAGGACCAGTTCTGTGAGTAGCGCTGGGGTGCATTGGAACCCTGTGCCCCGGACACCCCATGTCTGCTGCCAGTGCTCCATTCAACCGCGCTTCATTTCCGTTCAGTTTGTGAATAGCCCAATGGAATTGATTCCGTTTTGTGAACAGCCCTAAACTCGCTCATGTGTCGAAGATCATGTCCAACCCCAACCTCGCTTATGTGCCTTGATTTCTCTCTACACTACCGCCTTCTCTCCCCCCCCTCCCCCCCCCCCCCATTCAGCCCAACTGGGAATGTCACCAGAGGACGTGGTCTCGAAGATCATGTCCAACCCCAAGCTCGCCTCCGCCTTCCAAAACCCTCGCCTGCAGGCAGCCATCCTCGACGTGAGCCTTTTTCCTTGCCCTGCGTACACTATTGGTATTCTATATTAGAACCCTCCTTGTGCATGTCAATTGCATGCGAAACTGCTTGCTATCTCATGGGCATGCCTCTATCTTATGCACATGCCTGTATCTCGTATGCATATGGCTTGTATCTTATCATATATGTTGTGGATGTGGCCCTGGTCCAACAGGTGTCGGCCAACCCTCTCAACTGGACCAAGTACCAAAACGATGCTGAGGTAAGCAAGCATGATTTTCTATGCAAGCGGCCATTGTTTCTATGTAAACAAGCACTGTTTTGATGTATGCAAGTATCAGGATGGTAGAAGCAGCCAGTGATCCACTTCACCAACCATTGCGATACTTCCTTACATCAAAACAGTGCTTTGATCGAACGGAACGCTGCTGTCGGCATCACCAATAAGCCTCTGCTCGAAGCGTTGCTGCCGCTGTATCTCTGCTCCACAGCTCTGCCAGTCTATGCCATTTTCCCTCCAGTTAGACTTCTGCCCTTATTGCCTCGAAGAACCTTCGGGTGATGGCTGCATGACATGTTGGATGACGTTTCTGCCATGTCCTTCGTCTTGCTTCCCACTCTCCCTCCCCCCCATCTCTCTGCCCCTCATGACGCATGTGAAGATGTTCAACTTAGTGTCACTTTCCACATCAATACCACTTGTGTGTGTTGCAGGTGATGGAAATCTTCAACCAGATTCAGGAGCTCTTTGCGCCCCGTTGATGTCTTTGTTTCGCAATTCTCTCTCCCATTCCCCCCCACATTTTCCTCGAGATACCACTAGGTGCATGTTCCTTCTACCTTAGTGTTACCCGTTGGGGCGAAAGGAACAACCTAGTTACTCTAGGCTACTAGGTTACCTGTTCGTTTGTACCAACCTTTGACTGCACAACTGTAGCCAGGATAAATGGTAGCTTACACTTCACGTCTAGATTAATGATAGATGACGCCCAATAACTAGTACTATGTTGGTGCACCCAAGATGCAATTTGACACTCTCTTCATCAACACCATTGCGAGTTCTGTGTTTCTGTAGTTGTATGGGGAAGTACTATTACAGTGTACCTCTGGTTTCTGGCTGGGCCGTGTAAATGGCGAACGCATTTCGTTCCACGGTTTGCTCCTCCAGCCCCCCAGCCGCGCCCTTGTCAACACTCCGCAACTTTCTCCGAATTTTGTACTGTAGTGCTCCGCCCTGCACGGCCTATCTCTGGTTTTTTTTCGAGCCTGGTTTTTTGCGGCTCGAGTTGGGTTTCTTCATTCCGACTGCAGCCAATTCCCAAGGCCCATCTGCGGCACGGGCCCAACAATCTGGTTTGTGGGCCAGACTTTCCATCCGTACCTGCCATGCCCTAACCTGCCCTGCCCGGACTTGTCCTGCCCTACCCTGCCCGGCCCCGCCCTGCCCTCCCCTCTCCTCCCGTGCGCTACCATGGGGGTTCGCCCATCTTCTCCTCCACCTTTCCCCCTCTCCTCCCCTAGCCTGCCCTTTCCACCTCTTTCCTACCTTATGAGCTGTCTCCCCCTCCTCTCGCAACTCAGCTCTTCTACGTGTATGGTTCTGATCTGCGCGAGGTGTCCAACCCAAGCACAGATGGGCCTCCCTCACTCCCTCCAGAACAACTGTCTCGCTTCTCATGATGCCTAGCCGACCAAGCGCGCCACCGACCATTCCGCCCCCTTCCTAGTACAGCACACAATTTTCTGCTGCACGCCGCCCCAGCTGCACAAGTTATGTAGCCTCCGAGGCTACTAGCATGTATCTGGTGGAAACGCATGCCACGTGTCTCGCCGATTCCGTGCCTTCCCTCTAGTGCCTGGGGATGTCGAGCCCGACCGACAGCGCGATTCGTATGACATCACAACGCACTTCCCGGCTAGCGTTGGATGCGCGAGACAGAGGCAAGGGAGTCTACGGCAAGAGACATCACAAAAAGCTGGGAGGCAAGACGAACCCACGATGCTGCTCCTTTCACCCGCAAATTCGAGCAGAGACACATCGGCTACTGTAATACGGATTTCCGCCGTTGTACAAAATACTCTCGTCACCCGCAAATTTGAGCACCGATACCTTGGCCAGTTCAAAAGCAACATTCGCGTGGAAAGGCTAAGTTTTCTAGGAGCTTCTTTCACTTGGTTCCGAGACCTGTCAGGCACAGCGTTCAGAACTTCTGAAGCGCAACGCTCCAATTCTCTTTCATTCTTGCCACGTCAGCCGCCATGTCAACCCGAGCCCTGCTGGTCCTTCTCCTTTCGCTGACTCTACTGGCGTCGGCGACCGCGGGACCAACAACGGAGCAGATAGTATCGGAGCTGAAGCAGCTGCAGAGCAAGCTGATCAGGCGCTTCCCGCCCAGATACATCATCATGTCGCAGTTCGTCGCACAGCTCGTCGTTCGCGCAGGTGCGTTCCAAACAATTCCGAATCAGACGGCAGGAGCGTTTGAGCCCACTCAGACGGCAGCTACAGCCCGTAGCTCCGAAACAGAGGTCTCTAAGCTTTGGCGGATGCGACAGGCCAAGCCACTGGCTCTTCGATTCGTTGCTCACTCGACTTGCTCAACGTCTCGGTTTCTGGAATCAAATGAAGTGCGTTGGGCCATCAGGGCACTGTCAGTTCCGCGACCAAAGCCCTGCCGCTTTTGAGTGGACGACAGTCGAGACCGTCTGCTCTTTCCGTGCCACTTTTCTCCCTCGTCTTTCCGAATGAGTCATTCCCCGGCTCTCGGTGTAAGCTCCTCCCCGTACCTCACCTCCCCGTACCTCACCTCCCCGTACCTCACCTCCCCGTACCTCACCTCCCCGTACCTCGCCTCCCCGTACCTCGCCTCCCCGTACCTCGCCTCCCCGTACCTCGCCTCCCCGTACCTCGCCTCCCCGTACCTCGCCTCCCCGTACCTCGCCTCCCCGTACCTCGCCTCCCCGTACCTCGCCTCCCCGTACCTCGCCTCCCCGTACCTCGCCTCCCCGTACCTCGCCTCCCCGTACCTCGCCTCCCCGTACCTCACCTCCCCGTACCTCACCTCCCCGTACCTCGCCTCCCCGTACCTCGCCTCCCCGTACCTCGCCTCCCCGTACCTCGCCTCCCCGTACCTCGCCTCCCCGTACCTCGCCTCCCCATACCTCACCTCCTCGTCCCTCACCTCCTCCTCGTACCTCACCTCACCTCCTCGTCCCTCACCTCCTCCTCGTACCTCACCTCACCTCCTCGTCCCTCACCTCCTCCTCGTACCTCACCTCACCTCCTCGTCCCTCACCTCCTCCTCGTCCCTCACCTCACCTCCTCGTCCCTCACCTCCTCCTCGTCCCTCACCTCACCTCCTCGTCCCTCACCTCCTCCTCGTCCCTCACCTCACCTCCTCGTCCCTCACCTCCTCCTCGTCCCTCACCTCACCTCCTCGTCCCTCACCTCCTCCTCGTCCCTCACCTCACCTCCTCGTCCCTCACCTCCTCCTCGTCCCTTGTTTCCTGCTCGCTCTTCCCCCTTCTCGCCATCCATGTTGCTCCTAGTCCCGTCCCTTGCAGAGACTGTCCCCGCCGCCATAGACTCGTCCACAACACTCCTGACCCACCGACAACATGCTCAAAGCTCATGTATACAGCGTCATCCTCCTCTTTGCGCTCCATACCCCCTCTCCCCGTCTCTCGCAGAGACCGTGCCCGCCACCATCGACTGGTCCGCCTTCGCGTACAACACGCTCCTGATCCCCACGGACGCCGCGCTCGGCCTCAGCGGCATCCTCGCCCCGCCGCAAACCGCGGAGAACTTCGTCCGCCTCTTCCAGATAGTCTCCTTCAACATCATCCGAGGCATGCGCCCGTTCGCCGCACTTAAAGCCCTACCTGTTGACTCGTCGATCTCCCTGGTGTTTAAGAACGGGCGGCTGTTTCGGAAGAAGGTGAAGCCCGGGTGGGCGCTGGCGCCGGGGACTAGCGTGGCGCTCACGCAAAAAGGGAAGCCGCGGGCGGCGTGGTCGCAGATTGTGGATGGGGATCTGCACAAGGGAAGCAGCTTCATCGCACATGGGGTCAACAGAATGCAGACGCCTTGAGGCTTGTCGACCCAGATCCTTGTTCGTTCTGAAAGGACAACAGCCGCGACTTAATTTGAAGCGGGAGAAGGGAACTTGAAGAGCAGCTTTGCTGAAGATGCCTCCAGCCCGCATGAATGAACAGCTTGCTCATCACCTGACTGGTGGCCTCCAAGACACACGGTAGAATGTATGTTGCGTGGTGATATCGAGATGCACTAATATAGTGGGCGACAGAGAAGTCAGTTCAGTTGGTTGTTCCGTCACAGATGGACTACACTGCTGGAGCGGAACGAGCCACACTGCAGCAGGTGCACTGTGGCTGGGCAGGGCATTGAGCGAATGCAATCAGAACGATTACTAGTGATAAAATGATATGCTTTGGCACACTATTTCTAGAATCAGATTGGCATTTTCTAGCCGATAGTACATCTACCCCATTGTACTGATGTGGTGGCTGGCTGGGCACTTTGAAAATGCTTGTACGCGGCCGGTACGCCTAATGGGGATAGCATGGTTGTTTTTTTTTTCAGCCTCTAACTGTAAACTGCACCGTGCTGAGACATCATAAAATCCTCCATACCGTACAGAACCAGATCTGTTGAAGCGAACCAGCTACACCTGACCAACCGACCAAGTGGAGGCCCCATCTGTGTGACTCCAGCCGCCCATCCCATCGTCTTGCTACAGTACCCTGACGTGGCGTGCTAAAGGTTGTCAGTCTCATACCGTTTAGAAACGCGAATAGTGTGCGCTCAACCGCTCTGCGCCACGCGCCACGTAGAATATGTAACTTCGAGACACTTCGTGTCCCCCCGAGGGAGCTGGTTACTTCACCAACATTCCTCCCCTCCCCACCCTGTCCCCCACCCAACCCCGCCGTCCCCGCCGCCATCGTTGCTTCTGCGTGCCAGAAACACCTGCCACAGTCGTCATCCGTTGTTGAATGTCCGACCTACGGTAGACCAAACCCAGGCGGATTCCACACAGAACAAAACTAGACCCAGTCAGTGTACTGTAGCAGTAGTGTTGTGCTGCTTGCTCCCCCGTTTTTCTTCGGCTCCCGTTCTCTCGTACTAACATTCTCGCTTCCATCTGACTGATTCAGCTACAGTCTAGACACGTCAGCCGCCATGACAGCCCGAACACTGCTAGTTGTTCTCCTTTCACTGTCTTTGTTGGCGTCAGCCGCCGCAGCGCCAACAACGGAGCAGATAATATCGGAGCTGAAGGACCTACAGAGCAAGTTAACTAGCACCCCCCTCCGAGCGGCGCGATACCTCGCCATGACCTACGTGGTCTCCCAGCTCATTGCTCAAGGAGGTGCGGCCGTTGCGGGCACTCTGTCGCCTTCCTCTCTCCATCCCCTGAAATCTCCCCGGGATGTTTTATCCAACCCACCAAAGCATCTCCCCTGCCGAGAGCGTGATATGTTCAGCCCTTCGTCGTCGCCCCTTTCGTTGCGGCGACCTTGTTTGACGAAAACAATGCTCCTCGTTTCTTCATCTTCTTGCCCTCCACACTCCCTCTTATCCGGTCTGTGGAGGGACCAATCCCTTGCTATCATCCACCTTGTCTTGTCCGTTTCTCGTCGAGACCCTTATTGCAACCATCGGCTGCTAGTGTTTCGGCCAATATTCTCATATCTCACGTATAATATCTCACCTATCAACTCTCACCTTCTTCCTTTCTGTACTGCATTCGATCCCATGTTCCATTCCATGTTCCATCCCATGTTCCATTCCATGTTCCATTCCATGTTCCATCCCACGTTCCATTCCATCCCTCGCAGAGACCGTTCCCGCCACCATCGACTGGTCCCCCTTCGCCTACAACACGCTCCTGATCCCGACCAACGCCGCGCTCAACGCCAGCGGCCTCCTGGTCCAGCCGGACACCCCGGAAGAGGCTCTCAACCTCTTTAAAAGCGTCTCCTACAACATCGTCAAGGGCATGCAACCGTTCTCCAAGCTTAAAGCCCTTGCTGTTGGGAAGTCTGTCACGCTTCTGCTGAAGAACGGGAAGCTGTTCCGGAAGAAGGTGACGGCTGGGTGGGGCTTTAGTCAAGGCACTACCGTGGCGCTCACGCTCAAGGGAAAGCCGACTAACGCGTGGTCGAAGATCATGGACAAGGATCTGCACAACGGCAAGAGCTTCGTTGCTCACGGGGTTAACCGCCTGCAGAGTACCAGTGCTTGAGGCGTGGCTTGGGGGGATGCTTGGATGAGCAGTTGAACAAGCCAATGGAGGCTTCCCTTGTTGTGGCCCGTGTTCGGAAATAGGTAAACTGTTTGTTAGGTCTGCATCGGGATGAATGAACCGCTTGTTCATCATCTTCCAGAAATGGGATCCCTATACCTGGGGGTAATGGGATGACGTAATAATATGGCGTAGTATATATGAGCAGATGTGCCTTCACTTGTACTGAGACGTGAGTGCAAGAAGACTCACGCAACTTGCTCAGCGTTACATTGGGCTACATCAAACATCTTCATTACCGGATTATATGTTGGGCTAGGTGTGACTACGAAAAGGGTAAGGACATGGCACCTTTTTAAAAGGCCAAAATACTGTATGAAACAAACAACTGTTAGCAGCATGGGAGTTGGCTTTTGTACTATTGTCCGCTTGTATTGAACGGGAGGAACACCTCTGGACGAGGTACGACAAACCTAGAGACCTCGCCTCACCATCAGTTCCCTTGTTCGACAGTTACTTTCTGGACGAACACCACCAGCAGCGACCAGCTGGTTGGCGTTAGGGGGAAGGGGTGGATGGGATGAGGGCCAGGGAAAGGGGGGAGGGAAGCCAAGAGGCTTCATCTCTTCGCCGCCAGTGTCAACTTGTTACGGTGACAGTACAGTATTTCCCTTCCCTTCCCCCCCCCCACCCTGTCGTGTACTATGACTTCTCTCTCGCCGTGACCTCCCCCTAGAACTCCCCCTGTACTGTACACCGCCCCCATGCCCCCTCCAATGTCTCCGCTCTCCTGTCCCCCTCCCCCCACTCACTCCCCTCCCCTGTCTACCCCTAGCCTTCGGGGTACAGTACACCACAAGCGGAACATAAGAAATAGCGCGAACCAATCACAGGCGTTCCGCACATTCGAACTTGCTTCTCGAAGACTCATCTCACTCCGCTCCACCCAGCCCAACCCCACCCGTCAACAAGACTGGTCATTCGTTCGCTTCGCAAGTTACAGCGTGTGTTGCAAAACAGTGGAGTCGATTCGAAGGCTCCGTCGTTCGCAACATCGAGCCGAGGCTGCAAATCTGCAACCACACCACAACCTTTCTCCCTCCGAAGTCCAGCAGACCAGAAGCCTGAAGTGAAGAGAAGACTCGATTCCCCCCCCTCCCCCCCTGACCCACCCTCCACCCCACACAGCACATACTGTACAGTGCAGGACCACTCCAGTCTGGATTATACGTGATGTGTAGTTCAGCCGCAATTGTGGTCCCGGGATCCATTGTCATGCGTCCGCAGGAGAAAGACTCGGTCAATGATGATGCCTCTCAGCAGCCAGGAGACAGGCTTCAAGCCTGCTGAAGCTCTCCCTATTCGTGCACTAATTGTTTCTGTAGGCCAATTGTCTTTGTGTGCCTCAATATTATCCGTTCTAGCCCTCCGGCATTTCCTCTTAGTTCGCATTTCGACTCATTGATGCAGCAACTTCGATAGAAGCATTATCTAAACACGTCAGCCGTCATGTCAATCCGAGCGCTGCTAGTTGTTATCCTTTCGCTGGCACTAGTCACCTCAGCTCCGGCGGCGCCAACAACGGAGCAGATAATAAAGGAGCTGAAGGAGCTGCAGACCAAGTTATCGAAGCGCTTTAAATTTATCATCATGAACCAAGCAGTCGGTCAAATTATTACCCAGGGAGGTAGGACCGCCGTGGACCCAGCTCCTTTCTGGAGGTTTTTAATTTTGGACCTTTTTCGCTGAGCCCTCAGGACATGCTGAAGACCAGTTTCGTTGCGTCGACTCCACTCCTGCCTTTCCAGCAACTACCCCTCAACTCAGGCCTCCAACTCCTCCCCCCACCACCCCCCACCCCCCCTTCCCCACCATTCCCTTCCATCGCAGAGACCGTTCCCGGCGACATAGACTGGTCCCCCTTCTTTTACAACACGGTCTTGCTTCCCACAGATTATGCGCTCAAGGCGAGTGGCCTCCTTGAACAACCAACAACCCCGGAAGCGGCTATCAAGCTCTTAACAAGCATTTCCTACAACGTTATCAAGGGGATGTGGTCGTTCAACAAGATTAAAGCCCTACGTGCTGGGGCGTCGGTGCCGCTTTTGCTCAACAATGGCAAGCTTTTTCGGAGGAAGGTTTCGACTGGGTTTTTTTTTAGTCAAAGTACCAGCGTGGCGCTCGCGCTTAAGGGGAAACCGAAAGGCAACTGGTCGTCAATCGTCGCCAAAAATCTGCAGAAGGGAGGTAGCTTCAATGTTATTGGGGTTAACCGCCTGCAGACCACTGGTTGAGGCTATGGGCCATTTCTATTCTGCCGCAGGATGGATGAACAGCTTGTTCATTATCCAGGGAGTCAGGACATGATAAATTGGTCTGCCATTATGCCACGGGGTAGATGTGGGTAGAGGGAACAAGGGACCGAAGTAGGCTGTGTCTTCAATGTAATGAGTTGCAACATTTGAATTGATCTTGCTGGACAAGGGTGGGGAGGGGGGGGGGGGGGGGGGGGGGGTGGGGAGGGCTTGTGGCAGCTGCTACGTATTCTGCATGCTGGTTTATCGGAATTGCCTCAATTGTAATCGAGAAGCATTTTTTTATTGCACTGAACATAAAATCAAATTGAACAAGCTTCTATATTATTCAACACCACTTCCCCCCTACCAGGAGAAAGGCTTCACCTATGATGGATATCCTAATGTTGTAAGTCCCCGTTACAGCTCTATCGCAGCACCCACTTACGAGAACGACATCCCCTCCCAACCTGGAGTTTCCAACTTTCCCAGCCGAGTGCTCCCTCGCAGGACAGGACATCCCTGTTCTACCCCTCGTCTGCTGCTCTTGCTGCTGCTGCTGAATCTGCTGTCAAATTCAGTCACTTCATTTGAGTGCCGATCACTCGCAGTGCCAGCTGTTCGGCTCTCTTCACTTGCCACTTCCCAGATCCAGCTGCGGATCCGGCCTTAGTTCCACGTGTCCACCTATTTTACTAGGAATTACGCTTTTCAGCTTTCTTACGTTACGCCTGCAAGGGGAATTGCGCAGTCGTAGATTTGGCAGGCGAGCATGGAGGAGGACGATCGGTCGATCGCGGCGCCCGAGGGGAAGAACAAGGCGATCGACTACGACAAGCTCGAGAGGGATGTGGACCTCCAGCGGGATGTCGCTCTCAAGGTAGGGGAAGAGGCGATAATTTACAGAGAGATGTGGCCTGTATTGAGGCGCATCGATACCGTCAACGAGATGTTGCTCGTGAGGTGGGATGGCTTGCCTGTAGCCCTGGGAGTGGGACGGGGTTGTGCCTGCGCTGTACCGCTTAGATTCGACGTGTGTTTCGAGTTAACTAGAAACACGGCTGTGTTGGAGATGAATCTCGAGTCGACTCGATCGTCACGGGGATACACGTAACGAGTGATGGGTGCGTGTAACGGTTGTGATAAGAGAGGAAGGTTTTCCGCTGTACGCGCTATAAGGAGGCGTGGTGTAGGTAAAGGAGACAGATTCGTCACCATGTGTGCGGCTCGACGGATGCGACCACCGAGATGCATCGTTTGTGTGATTAGTCGTCATATGATGCGCATAGATAGGCGTCGGCTGTGATTAATACCTGGTCGAGATGCATCGACCATGCGAGCATCTGTTTCTAACGAGCATCGAGATGCCTTAGAGAATAACAACCAGAGATGTTTTTTTTCCAGAAATCTTCTTAGCTCGCGGCCTTCCATTTCACTTCAGGAACTCCGAAGGACAGCTGATGCTACGCCGTGTCGTGACTACCAAACGGCTTTGTTGCACCCGTGTAATCACCGCCGTGCTTGCTTTCTGGTTCTGGCCGTGCTCCATGCGTGCAGGAGGGGAAGCTGACTGAAGCTCTCGATGCGCTGCTAGGCTTGGAGAAACAGATGCGACTGGTACGCTTAGTCTGTCTGTCTGTCTGCCTGTCTGCCTGCCTGTCTGTCTGTCTGCCTGCCTATCTGTCTGACTGTCCGTCTATCTGTCTGTATGACTCCTCCGTCCTCCGTTCTCCCTTTCACTCGTCCTCCCTCTCTATTCCCTCGTTCGCCGTTCTTCTCTTAAAGCCCACTTTCCGTCTCCCCACTCGTTCGCCGTCTCGTGGTCGTCTCGTTCCTTCGCTCGGTTCCCTTCGATTTGTCTCTTCGCCTCACCTGATCAGCATCATTTGCTTGCCTCGCACGCCATTCGTCCGCCCTATCCTCCAACCCCATCGGCTTGCAACTCGCCATTGCCGTGCTCGTCTGAATTTTAAGATCTTGCCCACCAAGATACTTACTCACACTGCAGGAGGTGCCGCAGCTAGTTTCCAAAGCCCAACTGGATCGTCGTTTTCCAGGAATCCATCCCCCCACCTTCCCCCCCCTTCCTCCCCCTCCCCCCCCCTTCCCCCTCCCTGCCCATCCTCCCCCACCCCACCTTCCCCTCGAGCAGGCGGCGGATGTGGTCGGCACGCGCACTGTGGCGGTGGCGATTCTGAAGGTGTGCCACGAGGCTGCTGCGTGGAAGCTTCTCAACGAGCAGATCGTGGCACTGTCCAAGCGCCGAGCGCAGCTGAAGCAGGTGGGAAGCTTCGGTGGTTATTGGATTGCAGAGACTAACATGTACTGGGTGTACGATGCAGGTAGGAAGTTAGGATACGTCTTTATGTATCCTGTGACATACCATCCTCCCCATCATCCTCATCCCATCCCCATCATCCCCATCCCATCCCCATCCTTCCCATCATCCCCATCATCCCCATCCCCATCCCCATGCCCATGCATGCCATGCCCCAGGTGGTGGCAGCGATGGTGCAGGAGGCCATGAAGTACGTGGATGACGCACCTGATGACGTCATCAGGGAGGAGCTCATCAAGACGCTCAGTGGGGTCACGGCAGGCAAGGTGCGCCCATTGGGGGGGGAAGGGGGGGGGCAAAGGGCAAGGTGCGCCCATCGGGGGGGAGGAGAGTGGGGGAAGGGGGGGGAGGGGGAAAAGGGGGCAAGGTGCGGCCGTGAGTGAGAGGGCGGCCAAGGTGCGGACGTGAGGGGAGAGGAGGGAGGGGCAAGGGGCAAGGTGCGCCCATTTGGGGGGGAAGGGGGGGAAGGGGGGGAAGAAAGGGGAGGGGAGGGGGGCGGGGAGAAGGGGGAGGGAAGACTGGGTTGGGGTGAGAAGGGGGAGGGAAAGGGGGTGGGGAGGAGGGGGGAAGGAAGGAGACGGGGGGTTGGGGTGTGGGGGAAGGGAGGGCAAGGTGCAGGCATGAGCTTTTCTGACCCTAGTTCTGAGCACCAGTTGATGATGTGGCAGTTCTTACGGGGCAGTCGCTGACGTGGCGCGACGCGCTGCGTCTCTCCCATTCCGTGCCACACTCCATCCAACCGCATGCCATCCCTATGCTGCCCACCCCAACCCAATTCAAATCAGATCTACGTGGAGATTGGGAGGGCGCGCCTGGTGAAGCGGCTGGCTGAATGCTCCTCAATACTAACCACACTCATCCGCACCGCATTGAATCCCACACCACCCACCCCAAATCAAATCAGATCTACGTGGAGATTGAGAGGGCGCGCCTGGTGAAGCGGCTGGCGAGGATGAAAGAGGCGGAGGGGAAGGTGAAGGAGGCGGCGGAGGCCATGCAGGAGGTGGCGGTGAGTGCTGCTCTTGCTCTCCTTGTGCTTGCTGTGGCTGTGCTTCGAGTGTGCCACGAGTGCCTGCTCTCTCCTTGCTGCAATAGAGCACGGTGAAGCAGGCGGCGGAGGCCATGCAGGAGGTGGCGGTGAGTGCCCATCCCCTTGCTCTCCTTGCTGTTTCTGCTGTGCCCCTCCCATGCCTTCAGCCCCTCCCATGCCTTCAGCCCCTCCCATGCCTTCAGCCCCTCCCATGCCTTCAGCCCCTCCCTTCGCCTTCTTATCCTCCCAACGATCTCCACCCACCCCGTCCTCCTGCTCCCAACGCCTTCTTATCCTCCCAACGATCCCAACTAGTGCCTCCTCATGTCCCTGTCTTGCTCTCTTGCCTCCCTTCATGCTTCCTCGTTCGAGTTATTGCCCCCCCTTGCCGGTCACTACCTTGTTTCGTCCGTGCCTCTTTGCCCCTCTCCACCCCTCTCCACTCCCCTCCACTCCTCTCCCTCCACTTGCGATTGGAAACGTTCGGAGCCATGGCAAAGACAGAGAAGATCAACTTTATTCCTCCCACCCTAACACCCCCCCTCTCTCCCCCCCCTTCCGGCTGTCACTGCTTCCTGAATGGCTGTTTTCTAATTGGTCGCTCTGCCAGGTGGAGACGTTTGGAGCCATGGCCAAGACAGAGAAGATTGACTTTATCCTGGAGCAGGTGAGCCTTTCATCTGCTTTTCATCTACCGGCACGTTCATTGATCGACGAGTGTGTTTTGAATCTACTCAACATACACGGAGCCATAGCCAAGACAGAGAAGATCGACTTTATCCTGGAGCAGGTGAGCCTTTCACTTCATTTGCTCACACGTCGGCAGGGAGGCAGGCCAGTTGTTGCAGCTGAGGCACGCATTCCAGGTTTTTTCTTGAAAGCGTCTTGCAGTACAGGTAGGCCAGCCAGCGTGGCACTGTTACGTAAAAGTCTCTCCCCCTTCCCCCCCCTCCCCTTAAACCCCCTCAGGTCCGTCTGTGCCTTGACTCCTTTGAGGCACAGATGGCCCCGTCTGCTCCGTCTGAGTCCGTCTGAGTCCGTCTGAGTCCGTCTGTGTCCACCTGCTCCGTGTGAGTCCGTCTGTGTCCACCTGCTCCGTGTGAGTCCGTCTGTGTCCACCTGCTCCGTGTGAGTCCGTCTGTGTCCACGTGCTCCGTGTGAGTCCGTCTGTGTCCACCTGCTCCGTGTGAGTCCGTCTGTGTCCACCTGCTCCGTGTGAGTCCGTCTGTGTCCACCTGCTCCGTGTGAGTCCGTCTGTGTCCACCTGCTCCGTGTGAGTCCGTCTGTGTCCACCTGCTCCGTGTGAGTCCGTCTGTGTCCACCTGCTCCGTGTGAGTCCGTCTGTGTCCACCTGCTCCGTGTGAGTCCGTCTGTGTCCACCTGCTCCGTGTGAGTCCGTCTGTGTCCACCTGCTCCGTGTGAGTCCGTCTGTGTCCACCTGCTCCGTGTGAGTCCGTCTGTGTCCACCTGCTCCGTGTGAGTCCGTCTGTGTCCACCTGCTCCGTGTGAGTCCGTCTGTGTCCGCCTGCTCCGTGTGAGTCCGTCTGTGTCCGTCTGCTCCGTCTGAGTCCGTCTGAGTCCGTTGTTTTCCTTTCCCCGACCTCATGGCAACGAGGAGCAGCCCACCCACAGGTATTCAGGTGTCCTTCCACATGCCGTCTATCGGCCTCCAAGCTCCCTCGGGGCGCGCACTGTCCACCTCTCCTTTCCCCTTCCACATCCCATCGCAGGTCCGGCTGTGCCTGGACTCGGGCGACTGCATGCGCGCTCGGACCCTTGCCAGGAGCAGATCAGCCCGCAGAGTCTATTTTTGAGGCGCCTCAGAAACAGGCTCAGACCCTCGCCACGAAGATCAGCCCGCGGGCGATCAACTGACTCTCAGCTAGGTTTGAAGCTTGGTTTGACCTTCCCTTCCCCTCCCCTGTTTTCAGGTGCGCCTGTGCTTTGACTCGGACGACTTCATGCGAGCTCAAATCTTGGCTAAGAAGAGCAAGGGCGCGTGATTCAGTGCCCCTTTCCCCCCATGCCAACCCCTCCCACATCTCAGGTGCGCCTGTGCCTGGACTCGGACGACTTCATGCGAGCTCAAATCTTGGCTAAGAAGATCAGCCCGCGTGCGTTTGCCTCTGAGACCGTGGAGGCTGCCGAGAAGGCGGCGGCGGCGGCGGCGGCAGCAGCAGCAGGGGAGGTGAAAGAGGAGGGGAAGAAGAAGAAGAAGGGGCCGCGGGAGGAGGGCGAGATCCAACCTGCTGCGCCCGATGTGCCAACGCTGGTCGAGCTGAAACTGAAGTTCTACGAGCTCATGATCCGGTGAGTAGCATGTAAATAGGAGAAGAGGAAAGGGAGAGGAGGGAGGAGGGGGAGATTCAGCCCGCTGCCCCTGATGTGCCGATGCTGGTGGAGCTGAAACTCAAGTTCTACGAGCACAAGACTCGGTGAGGAGGTGGTAATGGGTGTTAGCTCCTGGTCAGGTGAGGTGCTATGAGGTGGTGATGGTGCTGTGAGAAATATCTGAAAGAAGAGGAAGAAGGGCCTGGAGGGGGTGATCCAGCCTGCTGCTCGTAGGAAGGTGAGACGATGGCATGAAGAAGAAGATGATGATGATGATGATGATGATGATGATGATGATGATGATGATGATGATGATGATGATGATGATGATGATGATGATGATGATGATGATGATGATGATGATGATGATGATGATGATGATGATGATGATGATGATGATGATGATGATGATGATGATGATGATGATGATGATGATGATGATGATGATGATGATGATGATGATGATGATGATTATGATGATGATGCGGCTTTACGTTTCTGTTGACCCGTTTTTCATCCATGGTTGAGTAATCTAGTTTTGAGACTTCTCAAAACTAAACTACTTAACCACGATGGCATGATTATGATGAGGCTTGTCTTTTCTGTTGACCCATTTTTCATCATCCCTGTGCCGCGCCTTGCCGCAGGTACTACACGCATGCGGGCGACTACCTGGAGATCTGCCGCTGCTACCAGAACATCTACGACACGCCCGACGTCAAGGCGGACCAGGAGCGGTGGATTCCGGTAAGTGCTGGCCTGGCTGTTGTGCTCGTGGGTACGCGATTCCACGTGTTGGTCAGTCAGAGGCGGTACATCGCCTCGGAGATCTGTCTGTTTGTCGGTGCTGGCAAACATCTGCGGCACTCTCGGATGAGAGAGCAGATAAGGACAGGTGGATTCCGGTATCTGGTGCTGGCCCCCCATGGCAGCATGCAGTCATCCCCCCTCCACCCACCGTGCCTCCTCGCTTTGCCTGTTAACCCCATGTTTATGCACACATGTCTCCCGCCCCTTGCATGTGCGCTCAGGTGCTCAAGCGCATCTGCTGGTATCTGGTGCTGGCCCCTCATGGCAGCATGCAGTCATCCCTCCTCCACTCCACCTTCGCCGATTCACATCTCCTTGACCTCCCCAAGTTTCGGTAATCTTCCTTCTCACCCACTTTAACCGCTGTACACCGGTGTCTGCTGCTAGCCGTCTGTTTCACCTACTTTCACCCACTTTCACCGCTCTGAACTGCTGTTTGCTAGCCTCTCCTGCTGACCATCACTTTTTCTATCCCCCCAAAATCCGTTATGTCTTCACTGCTGTGCTCTGCCTCTGCTCTGCTCTGCCTCTGCTCTGCTCTGACTCCCCATCACTTTATTGCTCTGCTCCTTTGCTTCTGCGGCCGAATAGGCTGTGTGTTTTATCCACTTTCACTTGCCCGCTCTCTGCTTTCGTTTGTCCTGTCCTCTCTCCCTTCCCCGTCCTCTCTCGCCTCCCTCTCCTCACGGTGTGAAGCTCTTCTTCACCATGGAGGTGGTGCCGTGGCCACAGCTGCTTTGACCCCTCTCTTACTCAAAACCTCCATTCTCCCTTTCCCTCATCCTCCGCCTTTCTCCTTTCTTCCCTCTGCACAGCGCCCTGCTGAAGCTCTTCATAACGATGGAGGTGGTGGGGTGGCCGCAGCTGCAGGCGGACTACGGGGCAGAGATGGAGGAGGAGAAGGCCACTGTGTTCCACAAGGAGTCGGCGCTGGAGGACCTCCGCCTGCGCGTCATCCAGCACGTGAGTGTCGCTGCTGCCCTCCCCCTGTGTAAGAAGGAATCCACGTGTGTTGCGGACTACGGGGCCGAGATGGAGGAGGAGAAGGCGACTGCGTTCCACAAGGAGTCGGCGCGGGAGGACCTGCGCCTGCGCATCATCCAGCATGTAAGTACGCGGTGTGCTGGCACTGTCCTGTTTGCATGCCATAGCCTGTCTTCTCTCTCTCTCTGTTCAGCAAGGAGCTGGCACTAGAGGTCCTGCCCCCCTTACCCCCCCCCCCCCCCTGCCCCTCCTGTCCTCCCTCCCCTTCGCTTTGCTACTCTCGAAACGTCCTTATAGTTATATGTGCATCGCCATCTTGTCCTCTTTCTTGACTAAGATCTTCCTTTCTCTCCGTACCCTTCCCTCCCTCCCCACCTTTCTCCCGCTCTTCTTCATTTCGACCAGAACATCCTGGTGGTGTCCAAGTACTATGTGCGCATCACCACGGCACGCCTTGCTCAGCTGCTCTCGCTCACTGCCGAGGTGAGTCAATCACCCAAAGCTTGCCGGTATTGTTGTTCAATGCAAGACGAGGTTTTTGAGGTGCCTCAAAATTTTAGGCAATTGTTGAGGCGCCTCAATAACCACCCAAAGCTCGCCGGCATTGTTTTCCAATGCAAGACAAGGGCAATGGCTTGCACACCATTCTCAGTGACCCTTCCCCTGCTCGTCTTCTCTTCCGTGCAACGAGATGACTTTTGAGTCGACTCAAAAGTCTGCTCGTCTTCTCTTCCGTGCAATATCCCCCTCGTAGCTGATACTCCATATTTACATGTATGGTCATTTTCTGTCCTCCTTTATCAATTTTCACATGCTCCAGCAATCTTGAGGTTGAATAACGAGCCAGAACACATGTGCCTTTTACCTTTAGGGTTGATTGAGGCATTTGTCTGAAAACATCAAGGTGATAGCTGCACCCACTAGTCTCCCTCCGCTCCCCCCTTTCCTTCCCGTGTCTTCTTCCCCAAGCAGGAAGCGGAGAAGTTTTTATCGGACATGGTGGTGGAGAAGGTGCTGGTGGCCAAGATTGACCGGCCAGCGGGGATTGTAACGTTTGGCGAGAGGCAGGAGAGCGGAGTGCAGCTGTTGGATAAATGGGCGAGCGATATATCGAAGCTGCTTGACCTGGTGGAGACGAGCTGCCACCACATCCACAAGGAAGCCATGGTTCACAAGGTGGTGCTCAAAACATGATGCGGGCTTGGATCTGATGAATACGCATTGGCTGTTTGAACAAGGACCTTCTATACCAGAGTAAATGTTTTGTACGGTATTTGAATATGGGTATGAAAATGTATTGGGAAATTTGTCATAACGTTGCGGAATATGTACAATCTCCAGAAAGCAGTAACTGCCGCTCGGAGGGAGATTTGGTTTGGACAATCCAGACGCGACACATGGCAGGAAATGTTCATTATCCACCGCAGCCAACCACAGCTCAGTTGTAATATTCAGAGATTTGCCGCGTGGACAATTCTCTGGGAATTTCCAACAATTTCTGGGAAGGCCTAATGGGCAGCGAACGGCAGCATAACTGCTCTCGAGAGTTTCTCTCAAGAAGCTAGAAATAGCCCAACGTTTTCCAGATGTGTTTCCGATTTGCAGTTACCGTCGTTTCGTCGAACGAAATTGCAGATCTGGTCATGGGAGGCAGGTTTGCACGAAACATTTGTACTAGTATTTTCATTTCCAAAGTCGAAACCTAAACGAGCTTTAGGGCGTGGTACAGACAAGTGAATGTCGGGGTCAATGATACCTGAACCCGAACCGAGAAATGATGCCATTCACCACTTTTGAGGGTCGCGGGCTTAGGACCGATCCTTTCATGGCCGAACCTCGGCTATATACCTTACTGAACCGTACGCGTCTACGCTAGAGGTTAATTTAACCGTCTAAAATCTCGCATATCGGGAGCTGAGTTCAGGGCGAGGTTGGGTGCCGATCCCGGATCTGGGATAATCGTACCACGCCTCAAGGGTTAGTTCCTTTCGAGTCATACAATTTGCTGCTTCCACACAGGTTTTTGTTTGTTTCATCTGCCCTAAAACACTGTCTCGTAAAAATTTTAGGCAAACCCTCCTCAGCCACGACCAGAGGTGCAATTTCGGCCCAGGGGGTGACCATAACTGGAAATCGAAGCCATGACTGCAAAGATTTGGGCTAATTCTAGCTTATTGAGAAAAAACCTGTGCTTTGCTACACGCAAAATTGGCATTCACGCCATCTTTTGCCGCCGCCTGCGCTGCAGCCCACCTTGCTCTGCCGTGACATCAGCAAGTGAGACACTTGCACCATCAGCGAGCGACCTAAGCTTGGCTCCTGGGCCCTGGGACCATCTGTGCGAGGCTGGATAGGGAGTGTGCGGCTTGTATATACAGACCCCTTGGCTTGGCTCCTGGAACTGTCGAAGTCAAGTCGATAAAGTCGATTGTTCTAGTTTTCTCAGAGATCGACTTCAGTCATCTGTTGTCGCCATGGCGCAAGCCGTTGCCATGAGCTCCGCGCGCGTTGCGACCGTTCCCCGCACGAATCTCGGCCCCGCAGCCGGTCATGATGCCACATCAGCTGCCAGTCCACGTGTCGCTCTCTCTCAAGCCCACCTTTCAAGTCGTCTGCTTAGCGGCAGCCGAATCCCCGATCGTGCGATTCTGCGATCGCAAATTCCTCGCCGGCAGTCGCACGCGAGCCAATTCAATCGCGCACGGTCGCTCGTCGTCGCAGCCGCTCGTGCGTCCGTCGCAGTAGAGGAGGCCGACGTCGTTATCGTCGGCGCCGGCGTGTCGGGGCTGTGCACGGGGCTCGCGCTAACCACGGATCACGCGGACACTGTATCGAAGGTGATTGTAACGGAGGCGCGGGAGCGCGTGGGCGGCAACATCACGACGGTGGTTGGCGAGGCGGGCACGGCGAACGAGGGGTACCTGTGGGAGGAAGGGCCCAACAGCTTCCAGCCCAACGACGCCATGCTCAAATGCGCGGTACGTAGTCGGACTGGCAAGCCCCGTTATAAAGAATATCCTTTTATGCGCCACATTAAGTCAAGCGGGCACGGCGAACGAGGGGTACCTGTGGGAGGAAGGGCCCAACAGCTTCCAGCCCAACGACGCCATGCTCAAATGCGCGGTACGTAGTCGGACTGGCAAGCCCCGTTATAAAGAATATCCTTTTATGCGCCACATTAAGTCAAGCGGCACGGCGAACGAGGGGTACCTGTGGGAGGAAGGGCCCAACAGCTTCCAGCCCAACGACACCATGCTCAAATGCGCGGTACGTAGTCGGAATGGCAAGCCCCGTTATAAAGAATATCCTTTTATGCGCCACATCAAGTCAAGCGGGCACGGCGAACGAGGGGTACCTGTGGGAGGAAGGGCCCAACAGCTTCCAACCCAACGACGCGATGCTCAAATGCGCGGTGAGTACTTCTCACCAGCATGGTTCGAAGTAGTTCAGTTGCGAGGTACTGAGTCGCGAGGAGGAACTGCGTGGCTGGATACGCGTCGTTGCAGCCCGAAGACGCATGCTGAAACGACGCGCGCGGTCCGCATGCTGAGTCTGCGATCCGCGTGATTGAAAATAGCATTCGGTTTGAATGCGAGGGAGGCGGGGGCGGGAACGAGGGGTGTTTGTGGGAGGAAGGGCCCAACAGCTTCCCGCCCAACGACGCCATGTTCAAATGCGCGCTAAGCGTTGTCCAATCGCACGCTGTTTCGCAAGGTCCTACACTCACGACGCGAACCGGAGAATTACGGCTGTTTTGAACGCTTTTAGAAGCCGCAAGTCAGCCCTGGCAGCGAATTCGTCTGTTACGAACCGGATTGCACGCATGTGATGTACGTGTGACCCGACCACAGGGGCGCGTTAACATGTACTCTGAAAGCGCATGAATGCTTTGGATTTCTCTTGTCCCGATGACGTCATGTGGGAGGAGTTGGCTTGTGGTATGAGAGGCTAATACTGGCGAATGCTGAATGCGTTACGTGGTTACACAAGCTTGTAGCGGCTGCTGACGAAGAACGTAGTTTTCGCTGGCAAACAGCGAGACTTCCTCCGTTCCCCTGCCTCCCCCCCACCCCCGGCAGCTCGACAGCGGGGGGTCATGGCTGGCTGGCTCTTGCAGACCCACGTTCTTCTGGGAGGCGCGTCTGCTGGTCTCTGACCTTACGCTTTTCCTTACCCTCCCTCCCCTCTCCCCCACAACCCCTCCCCCCCTCCACGCACCGCCACGTGCAGCTGGACAGCGGGGTGATCGACCAGCTTGTGCTGGGGGACCCCGACGCCCCCCGCTTTGTCTTCTGGGAGGGGCGCCTGCGACCCGTGCCGGCCGGGCTGCTGGACCTGCCCGTCTTCGACCTCATGTCCATCTTCGGGAAGATCCGCGCAGGGCTTGGCGCTTTTGGGCTCCGTCCTGCCCCTCCCGAGGTCAGTAGCTGGCGCTTGTGACGTGCCTGCCTGTCTGGCTGCTGGACCTGCCAGTCTTGGACCTCATGTCCATCTTCGGGAAGATCCGCGCGGGGCTGGGCGGATTCGGCCTCCTCCCTGCTCCCCCTAAGGTGAGCAAGTAGGCTGTGAGATGCATGCGACTCAGAGTTAGCCCGTGCCTGCCTGCTGGCCTGCGCCCCCCAGGGTCAGTCTGTGAGCGGCGCTCAACCACGCCGTGCGTGCCAGCTTGCCTGCTGGACGCTGCTGCACCCTGCCGGCTTCCCCATGTGAAAATCACGTGTCCATCTTGGGGAGAATCCGCACTGGGCTTGGAGCCAGTGGCTTCCGGCCCGCCCCTCCTGAGGTTTATGCGACTTGACTCCCCTCCTCTCAATGTTAGTCCGTGCCGTGCCTCTGCCTGCCTGCTGGCCTGCTGCTGGGCCTCCCGCTGCTAAGAAAATTCGGGCTGGGTTTGGTGCCTCTGGTTGGTCTGCGCCCCGCTGCTCCTGCCTTTGTGGCGATATCTCTCCCTGCTCCCTGCACCCTGCTCCCTGCACCCTGCTGGCCTGCTGCTGGGCCTCCCGCTGCTAAGAAAATTCGGGCTGGGTTTGGTGCCTCTGGTTGGTCTGCGCCCCGCTGCTCCTGCCTTTGTGGCGATATCTCTCCCTGCTCCCTGCACCCTGCTCCCTGCACCCTGCTTCCTGCACCCTGCTCCCTGCACCCTGCTCTTTGCACCCTGCTCCCTGCTCCCTGCGCCCCCTCGGGTCATGTAATACTTTTCATGTCTTACTGTAGTGCCATGTGTCACTCATCCTCTCCCTCGCCCCTGTCCTCTCACGCTTCTGATTGGATGGTGACGTGGCATGGTATGACGTGGCATGCAATGGTGCACACAGGGCAAGGAGGAGAGCGTGGAGGAGTTTGTGCGTCGCAATCTGGGAGCCGAGGTGTTTGAGCGCCTCATCGAGCCCTTCTGCTCGGGTGAGTGCCGTGTGTCGCGCTTCTAGTGACCCTCTCTAGTGGGCGATATGCCCGAGCAGAGGCGTTTGAACTGCTTATTGAGCCCTTCTGCTCGGGCGAGTGCAGTACAGGCTAGCCTGTAGCTTAAATGCTCCAAAGAAAATAAGGCGTAGGGGCCTCTTTTATGAGTGACATGTGGCAGGGTAAGTACTTTCTGTGCTGGTTTGGTGACAGCCGTCTATAGAAGCTGCGAAAAGTTGCCTCCACTCTCCCTCCTTCTCCTCGTCTCTCCTCCCTTTTGCCCCGTCTGGCTTCCAACTCTGCCCCTTGGCGCCTGGAGCAATCGAGGGCCTGCAGCACCTCCTCCCTCACTCACTCATTTCGTCTCCCCACACCCCTCCCTCACATCTCCAGGTGTGTGCGCAGGTGGCCCCTCCAAGCTCAGCAAGAGGCGGCATTTAGGTAGAGGGATCCGTCTGCTTGGTGCGTCGTCCTCCTCATCCCGTCCGCCCGACCCCCTCCTCGCCCCTGGTTTGTCTCTGGCCATGGCAGGTGTGTACGCGGGCGATCCCTCCAAGCTCAGCATGAAGGCGGCGTTTGGCAAGGTGTGGCGCCTGGAGCAGCTGGGAGGGTCGGTCTTTGGCGGGTCGCTGAAGCTCATCAAGGAGAGGCAGGCCAACCCGCCGCCGCCTCGGGACCCGTGAGTGTGTAGTAATGGTAACCCTGTGTATGCTGTTACTAGCATCTGGGGGTTCGGTCTTTGGCGGGTCGCTGAAGCAGGCAGGCCAACCCGCCACCACCTCATGACACGTACGCTATGCTGGAACCCTATGGTTGGTGTGACGGTGTAGCGAGCGCTATGCACGGTGTTCTTTGTGACTTTTGAGTCGACTCAAAAGTCACCTTGAGAGTGTAGCGAGCGCTATGCATGGTGTTCTTTGCACCCGCTGCAACCCCTTCCACCACCTTCCCGTCCTTCCCCTTTCCCTTTCATCTCGTTGCTTCCCTTTCCATCCGTTTTCACCCCTTCCTACCCCTCTGCAGGCGCCTGCCGAAGCCCAAGGGGCAAACAGTGGGGTCGTTCCAGAAGGGACTCATCACCCTTCCCAACGGCATTGCCAACAAGTATGTGCCCTGCTGACATGCCATGCCATGTTGTGCCATGCCATGCCAGATTGTGCCATGCCATGGCATGTTGTGCCATGCCATGCCAGATTGTGCCATGCCATGGCATGTTGTGCCATGCCATGCCAGATTGTGCCATGCCATGCCAGATTGTGCCATGCCATAGCATGTTGTGCCATGCCATGCCATGCCAGATTGTGCCATGCCCTGCCTTCCTTGTGATTTTAAGGGACTCATCCCTTCCAAACGCCATGCCATATGCAGTACTATACATACCATAGTGTACCATACAATACCCTGCCATGCCGCCCAATGCCATGCAAGGTGGACCATCACTGGACTCACAAGTCACACACATGTCCACCAACCCTCCCTTTCCGAACCTGTCTTCCAGGCTCGGCGACCGGGTGAGGCTCGGGTGGAAGCTGTCAGCCATTGAGAAGCAGCCAGGTGGCAGCGGCTTCCTCCTTTCCTACGACACTCCCGAGGGTGCCAAGAAGCTGGCTGCTCGCTCTCTGCTGCTCACCGTGCCTTCATACATCGCCGCTGACCTGCTCAAGCCATACTCGGTGAGACCTCATCTCTCCCTTCGCCAGTCACGCTTGGAGGGCCACCTCGCAGCAGCATTCACTTGGCCTTTGACTGAGCTATCTCTTTTCTGCTGCTTGCTGTGCTGAGAGACGAATCACGCCTGCAGCACAGGTCGCGCAGCCAGGTGGTGCATACGCCCTGCTATCATCTGTCCTAAAGCACCATCATCTCTTCTCCCCCCCCCCCCCCTCCTTTCTTTCATCCCCTTCTCTCCAGCCCGCAGCGTCAGCAGCACTCTCGTCCTTCTACTACCCACCGGTGGCAGCTGTGACCATCTCATACCCCAAGGAGGCCATTAGGGAGGACAAACTCGTCAGTGGTTGGGGATCTCAAGCAACCCTCCCCCCCCTTCTCTCTCTCCCTCTCCAAACCCCCTTCCACCCCCCTCCCCCCCCCGCCCTCCTTTCTCCAGCCCGCAGCGTCAGCAGCGCTCTCGTCGTTCTACTACCCGCCGGTGGCAGCTGTCACCATCTCGTACCCCAAGGAGGCCATCCGAGAGGACAGACTCGTTGGTGGGGAGCTCAAGGGCTTTGGGCAGCTGCACCCCAGGAGCCAAGGCATTGTCACTCTGGGTAAGGCGGAGAATGGGGAGAGGGATGGGGGAGAGGGAGGGGGGCGAGGGATGGGGGAGAAGGAGGGGGAAGAGGGAGGGGGGTGAGGGTTGGGGGAGAGGGATTGGGGAGCGGGATTGGGGAGAGGGAGGGAGGAGTGAGGGGGGGGATCAGGGGTTAGAGTCTGTGATGCTCTCCTGCATATTCCCTTCTCCGTCTCGGGAGAGCCAGCAGGCATAATCCACAGCTCTATGTACACACCCCTGCTGTTCCCCGTTCGATACCCCTCCCTTCCTTCTCCCCCCCAATCCGCTGAAACGCAACAGGCAGGCACCGTCGCTCTTCTCTGTTTCGACCATGTTCCGTGCTCTCTGCCCTGGTAGTTTGAACCCCTTCTTTGAGCATGACCCCCGTCTGCTGTGCTCGCTCGTCCCCAGCTGCCTCCCCTTCTCTCCTCCCCATTCTGTCAGCCCACCGGGCACCATCTACAGCTCCCTTGTCCTGCCCAACCATGTCCCATGCTTTTTTCTTGCCATGATCTCTGTCAGGTGTTCCTCTCTGTCCTATTCTCTCAATATTCCCCGGCCTCACCCTCTCCAGGCACCATCTACAGCTCTGTTTTCTTCCCCAACCGTGCTGTCTGCTTTATGTGCTGGTCTCGGCCCTCATCCCTGTCCTTCTACCCGCTTGTCCCCATCCCGCTGACGGCACCCATCACCAGGCACCATCTACAGCTCTGTGCTCTTCCCCAACCGTGCTCCTGACGGCCGGGTGCTGCTGCTGTGCTACATTGGGGGGGCGTGCAACACCAAGATTGCCACCATGGTGAGTGGCGCTGGTAGTACTTAGTGTATGTAATAGGTGTTCTGATGTTTGGGTATCAAACGCTGCTCCTGTGCAACACTGGGGGTGCGTGCAATGCAACGCTAAGATCACCACCATGGTGAGGGGTAGTGGTGCTGGTGCTCGTGCTCGTGCTCGTGCTCGTGCTCGTGCTCGTAGAGTGCGCATAGTGCAGCAGGCCGACACCGATGTGCACAAGATGCTCACTAGACCCCTTTCATCTCCCCATCCCCTCTGCCCTATCCGCCATTCCTCCCCCAGAGCGAGGAGGACATAGTGAAGCAGGTGGACATTGACGTGCGCAAGATGCTCATCAAGCCCGATGGAGCAGCCCCAACGACCCATGGGGTGAGGGTGTGGCCGCGTGCCATCCCCCAGTTCAACGTCGGCCACCTCGACAACCTGGCCAAGGCACGGGAGGAGATCAAGGCGGCAGGGCTTGAGGGCGTGTTCCTTGGAGGGAATTACGTGGCAGGAGTGGCACTGGGTCGGTGTGTGGAGGGTGGGTATGAGAATGCGGCGGAGGTGGTTCAGTATTTGAAGGAGAATGTTGCCGTTAGCAAATGAATGTGGTAGTATGAGTGGATGGTTGGGTTAGGGGCTGTAAATGTTTTCCATCCTCTCAACCTTTTTGTACGGAAGGGTGGTATTGTTAGGAGTCACAATTGAGGGCTCTGAAAGTCGTAACTAGTTCTGTAGTTAGACTGCTCGTTGGAAACGAGGCAGCACATTTTATCTATACCCTCTGAAGTTCAAGTTAGATAGCCAAATATGTTATACTAAGCTAGGTAGGGGGGAAGCCATGGAATGGCGTGAGGTTTAACTAGGAGAAAGCTGAGAGAAGAGTTGGTGAGACTAGGAAGAGAGGCATCCAAGGAGGGAGTTGTACCCTCTACAGTAGAGTCCGGTAACCTACCAAGCCTACCAATTATATAACACAATATATAATTTAACACACCCCCTAGGCTTGGTAGTCACAAGCTCACCCAACACACACACCCCCTAACCCCTTACACCGCCATGCTCGAGATAAGCCGGGTATCTACTCCTCGGGCTTGGCATGGTGACATCCCCCGGCGAGAGGCAGCGCGGGCAACGGCCATGGCTGAAGGCTCTCGACGGTGTGGCACGGCGAGGCGACGACCGGGTAGAAGACAGCAGCTGCGGCAGGAGGAAGAGGAGATGCAGGGGAAGGGGGGGGCGGGGGGGGCGAAACTTCAGCGACGCGCCATGGGTGGCGCGGCGCTTACTGGCGGAACAGGGCGAATCTTCAGTGAGGCACCATGGTTGGCGCGACGCTTACTGGCGTGAGGGCGTTACGACTGGCGCCTAGGACAGGGTGCTGGCCGCAGCTGTCAGTGCGCTGGCGTGGCGAAGCCGCCACGACAGCACGGCGGCAGGGCAACCCAACGCCGGCCCCCTGGCCGTCGTGTCCGCCCCTAGCCGGCCCCCTGGCCGTCGTGTCCGCCCCTAGCCGGCCCCCTGGCCGTCGCGCCCGTCCCTAGCCGCCCCCCCTGGCCGTCGCGCTCGTCCCTAGCCGGCCCCCTGGCCGTCGCGCTCGTCCCTAGCCGCCCCCCTGGCCGTCGCGTCCGCCCCTAGCCGCCCCCCTGGCCGTCGCGTCCGCCCCTAGCCGGCCCCCTGGCCGTCGCGTCCGCCCCCAGCCGGCCCCCTGGCCGTCGCGCCCGTCCCTAGCCGCCCCCCTGGCCGTCGCGTCCGCCCCTAGCCGACCCCTTGGCCGTCGCGCCCGTCCCTAGCAGCCCCCCTGGCCGTCGCGCTCGTCCCTAGCCGGCCCCCCCGTGGCCGTCGCGCCCGTTTCCTGCCGTCCCACGGTCGCCCCTAGCCGTCTCACGGCCGCACCCTCGCCGTCGCAGTCGCCCCTAGCTGCTGTCGCTGCCGTCTCCAGCCGCCTCACGGTCACTCCTGCCGTCGCGGCCGCCCCTAGCCGCCGTCGCGGCTGTGTCTCCTCGCCGTCGTGGCCAGCCCTACTCGCCGTCGCGCCAGCTCCTCGCCGGCCCCCGTTGCCACCGTTTGCTGGCCCCTCACGTCTGCCGTCCGCCGGCCGGCTCCTGCATTCGCGTCGTCGCCAGCCCGCCGCCGCCTCGGGTTCGGCCCGTTCTTCCCGATCAGCACCGCCCTGCGAACTCCCCCTCGGTACCGTACTCAACCGCACTGCACCGCATTGTACCGCACTGCACCGCACTGTATCGCAGTGCACCGCACTGTACCACACAGCACCGTCCTCCACCGCACTGCACTACCCGTGCCGTACTATTGTCACTGATGGCGGAGGTGCTTCGCTTTGACGCTGAGGGCCAGCCGATTGAGTTTGATGCGTGGCTTGCTGACCTTCGTCGCCACCTCACTGGTCAGCGGCAGGATGGCCACTCTCTGTCTGTCCATCTTGACGGTACCCTCCCCTGCCCTGACCCCCCCGCTGCACTGTCTCCTGACCCCTCGTCCGCTGAGCGTGAGTCCGCTGCGGCCGCTGCCCTTGCTCGCTCTGTCTGGCTGTCCCGTGACGCTGTCGCACAGCTTGCTATTAGTAATGCCCTCCCCCTGTCCGAGCGACCTCGCTTTAGGTCTATCACCACTGCCCAGGCTTTCCTAGATGCTGTTTTCCAGCGCTATTCCACCCTGCCTGCTGCCTCGGTAGGTCGCCTGATCCTCCCCATGCTCTTCCCTGACCTTGCGTCGTTCCCCACTGTCGCTGACTTGGCCGCCCACCTGCGCACTATAGACGAGACTTGGTGCGCTGCCTGCACTGACACACATCTTCGCGCTCACCAGCCGCCCCTCTGCTCTGCTCTCTACCTGCTGGCCACCCGCCTTCCTGACCGCCTTGCCACTGCCCGCGACCGCTTCCTTAGCGTCCACCCCAGAGACCTCACCCTCACTGACTTTGTTGACACCCTGTCCGTTATAGAGGCCCGCCACCGCTCTATCGCCCAGACCAGCGGTACTGTGCCGGTCCCTATCTTTCAGGGTTGCGCCCCCGCTCAGTGCACCTTCTCTGACGGCTCTGCTGCTGTGGCTTAGACTGCTTCTACAGCACAGGTCCGTCCGGGGAAGGGTCGCCGCCCCAAGGCGGGGCGTGGCGGCGGGGGTGGGGGTGCAGGAGCTGGGTCCCCTGGTGTGGTGTGGACGAGGGGACCCTGACAGGTGCAGCCGAGCAGCTGTCTCAGCAGACGCCGGTGTTTGCCGCCGGACCCGCGTTAGCCGCAGCAGCAGCAGCAGTCGCAGCAGCAGCCGAGACGGGCGAGTGGTCTCCCGCCCGAGTGGCCTGGCGCTGGAGGTAGCGGTGGACGTGGTGGTGGTGCGCGTGGTGGGCTGCCGGGTGGTGGTTCGGGCCCCGCGCGCTGTCAGTACCTGCTCCAGACCGGTCCTCGCCGTGGCTTCGTTTGCGGTCAGATCGGCCACACCTCAGACCGCTGTTTCCGTCTCATTACCCCTTGTTGCCTAGTGTAGGCGTGCCTTGCTTAGACTCCCCTGCTGCATCAGGCGTAGGATCCCCTGCTTTTTTTAGCCTTGGTGCTTCCATCGATGCTTCGCCTCCGGCCGCCACTGCCACGCTCTCCTTCACCCTCGACTCTGGCACTTTCTTCCGTGACTCTACCACGTTGACACCGCTCCCTGTCCCTGCCGCAGTCTCTCTTGCTGACCCCTCCTCCGGCCCTGTAGTTGCCCGCAGTTCCACCACCCTCCCTTGCCCGGCGGTTCCTTCGGGCTCGCTCACCGAACTGCACATCCCCTCATTCTCCAGGAACCTAGTTGGTGTCGGCTGCCTTCAGGACCTTGGCGTCACCACTACGTTCCCTGGACACGAGCGGTACGCTGTCTGTACCGAGGCCGCCACTGGTGCCCCCCTGTCCACATTCCCACGGGACCCGGTGTCCGGTCTTTTCTTACTGGACACGGTGACCCCCCCGGCTGGGACCCCCCCTCAGGTGGCTGCGTCTCCTCAGATTGCTGCTGCCTCCTCCTGTCGGTCTCTCACCCACCCGACCCTTCTCTGGCACCACCACCTAGGTCACCCTTCGCTCCTACGTCTGCGTCACATGTCACAGCACGGTCTCGTCCTAGGCCTCCCCGGATTGTTCCCTGAGTTTCCCTCCTCCCCAGCCCCACCTTGCACGCCCTGCGTCGAGGGCCGGCTCCGCCGTGCCCCTCACTCCTCCTCGTTTCCCCCTACAGCAGCACCGCTACTGACTCTGCACATGGACGTCTGGGGCCCCGCCCCCGTCCATGGGCCGCGTCGAGAGCGCTACTTTCTAGTGCTTGTCGACGACTACACGCGCTACACCACTGTGTTCGCCTTGGAGCGGAAGGCCGACGTGCCTGCCGTTCTTATCCCGTGGCTTGTCGCTGCGCGTGTGCACCGCGGTCTCCCTGTCTTGCGCCTCCACTCTGACCGTGGTGGCGAGTTTGCCTCTGGTGTCCTTGGTCGCTTCTGTCGTGCGGAGGGCATCACCCAGACATTCACCTTGCCGAACTCCCCGCAGCAGAATGGGGTCGCTGAGCGACACATCGGTTTGGTCATGGAGGTGGCTCGCACCTCCATGATCCATGCCGGTGCACCCCATTTTCTATGGCCGTTCGCCGTTCGCTACGCCGCTCACCAGCTTAACCTGTGGCCGCACCCCCAGCAGCCTCAGGTTTCGCCGACCCTTCTTTGGTCTGGGTCACCTGGTGACGCGTCTGCGTTCCACGTCTGGGGCTGCCTTACTCACGCTCGTGCCTCTGACACGGACAAGCTCACTGCCCGCACCCTTCCCTGTGTCTTCCTCGGCTTCCCCCTTGACGCGTTTGACTGGCACTTCTACCACCCGCAGTCTCACCGGTTCTTTCACTCCCGCGACGTCATCTTTGACGAGTCCGTCTCCTTCTTCCGTCGCTTCCCTCACCGCGGTCCCCCGGTTACCCCCCCCTGTTCCTGGTCCCCCCTTCCCCGGTCGTCGCCGCCCCTCCTCCTCCCCCTCCCCGTCCTGCCCCCTCTTGTGTGTCCCACGTCACCCCACTTACGTCGGTTGTCCCGGTTGAGGAGTCTGCTGACTCTGGTGGTCCTGCGGCGCAGTCCTCGCCGCCTGCCCCTTCTCCAGTGTCTCCTCCTCCGTCACCTCCACAGCCGCCGTCGCCACCGCTGTCGCAGCCGCCGTCGTTGCAGCCGCCGCCGCTGCAGACGTCGCCGCAGCCGTTCGTTGCCTCTGGGGGTGCTGGAGTTGGGGTGGGTACTAGTCCTGGGACTCCTGTCGTGGCTTGTCCCGGCGGGCCTGGGGGTGGTACTGGTGCTCGAGGGGTTCTGGGCTCTGGGGGTGCTGACGTGGAGTGTTTTGGAGGTAGCCGCCAGGCCGCTTGCGGTCCCGGTGTCGGCGTCACACCGCCGCTGCAGAAGTCCCCGCCGGTTTCCGCTCTTCGTCTGCTCGGCCTTCCGTCCCCTGACCCCGTGCCCGTGCCTCCTCCTCCTCCTGTCTACAGCCCTGTGTTCCCTCCTCCGGACTCGTCTCCGGCCCGTTTCCCCCCTCGTTCCCCTCTTGTGTCCCCTCCTTTGTCTCCTGACCCGACTCCTCCGTCTCATGTCTAGTCTCGCCGCCCCTCCTGTGCTCGACTTGTCTCCCCTGTCTCGCGCTCTCACCCTATGTTGCTTTGTTCCCATGCGTCTCGTCCTCCCCTTCTCCCGTCGCCCCCTCCGTCCTCCCTTGTTGTTGCTCCCCCACCCCTGTCTGTCCTCCGTCTGTCGGGGGTGCTCATGCCCTCGGCAGTGACATCCTGGAGGACCGCCGGTAGGAACTTGCTTTCCTGTCCGAGGCCGCTCCCCATCTCTGCTCTATGCTTCTAGTCCCTGAGGGTGACCCCGACTCTTTCGACATCCCGACCCCTCGCACTTACGCTGAGGCGGTCTCGGGACCCTGGGCCTCTCAGTGGATAGCTGCCATGGAGCAGGAGATGGCATCTTGGAGATCCACTGGCACCTTCGTCGATGCAGTTCCCCCACCTGGGGTGAACGTAGTCGATGGCCGCTGGCTCTTCAAGGTGAAGCACCCTCCTGGAGAGCCGCCTGTGTTCAAGGCGCACTACGTGGCTAGAGGTTTCATTCAGCGTAAGGGGGTGGACTTCTTTCAGACCTTCGCTCCGACCCCGAAGATGACTACTCTTCGGGTGCTACTACTCGTAGCAGCTCAGCGTGACTACGAGCTTCACTCCCTCGACTTCTCCACTGCGTTTCTTCAGGGCAGTCTACACGAGCAGGTCTACCTGCGCCGCCCTCAGGGCTTCACTGGCACCTTCCCTCCTAGGACCCAGTGGCTCCTGCGGCAGGCTCCCCGTAAGTGGCACGACACGCTGCGTGCTACCCTTGCCGACATGCAGTTCTTTCCGTCCTCCGCAGACCCCTCGCTCTTCGTTTGTGCTGGCCAGACCCCGCTCTACATCCTTGTTTACGCAGATGACCTGGTCTTCGCCACGGCAGACAGGGACGCACTGGCCTCTGTGAAGGCCGAGCTGCTGAAGAGACACACCTGCACTGACCTTGGAGAACTGCGCCACTACCTTGGCTTGCAGATCTCCAGGGACAGAGCAGCGCGCACTATCACTTTGACTCAGTCACACTTGGTGCGCCAGGTCCTTCAGAGGTTCGGCCGTCAGTTCTCCTCCGCACAGCCCACTCCTCTGCCCCTAGACCACAGGCTCTCCGCTCCAGTTCTTGAGGAGTCTGCTGAGCCTAGTGGTCCTTACGCAGAGCTGGTGGGTTGCCTCATGTACCTGATGACTTGCACTCGCCCAGATCTCGCATACCCTCTCAGCATCCTAGCTCGCTTTGTGGCTACAGGCGGACATCGACCTCAGCACTGGTCTGCCGCTAAGAGGGTTATGCGTTATCTTGCAAGTACATCGGGCATGTGGTTAGTGCTAGGAGGACGCAGGCCAGTGGTCCTTACTGGAAACACAGACGCTTCTTGGGTAGACGACGCCGAGACCCTAAGGTCCTCGCAGGGCTACGGCTTCAGCCTTGGTTCAGGTGCCGTCTTATGGAGAGCCACTCGCTCGTCGTCTGTGGCTCAGTCCAGCTGTGACGGGGCCAGCGCGGAGTGACGGGGCCAGCGCGACATGACGGGGCCAGCGCGGCGTGGCGGGGGTGGGGAGTGCGTTGCGGAAGCGTGAGGAGAAGGCCTGAGCTAAAGGGGCCTGCTGCGATACCATGTTAAAGCGAGAGGTTATACTAGTGACCCATCTTTCTAGTTGGGCCCAACTTTATTGGGACCCTCGAACAGATATAGGGGGGACAAACGAACGGGCAGAAGAAAACGTCGTTTCGGGGTGGGCAGTCATTCAGCAGCAAAAGCACCTGCCCGCGCGACAAATTCGGATATGTTGACAGGGTTCTGTTTATACGCATAATAATAGCTAGCGTGCCTCGTTGAGGCTCGTTTGTTACCGTATTTTGTCGACCTCGATTAGTTGCGGTTCAGTCAAACTCAAATGGGTGGACACGCAATGGGAAAAGTACGGTTGGCGGCTGATCGAAGTAAACATGCCTTTATAAGGTAGCAATAGGTGGGGAGAAATTTCGACCAATCAGAAAACCAGTTGTGTTCTTCCATGAGTAGTGAACCCAGGTCCAACTTGAAAATCAAGTTGGGCCCACTTGGAGAATGACGAGGCAATGGGGTCGCACAAGTACCTGCGACCAGTGACAGCTCGCAAACCCTGTCCTACAAATTTCCCAGCCAATCGTGTGCTCGCGCTTGTTCGCTCTGAACAGCACGACTGCGTTATGGAACTGCCTTGGTTCTGCCGAGTAAGGCTAACAACCCCTTAGAAAAAATCAAGGGTCCCTTGGTTTCAAGTTGGACCCGCCTTCACTATTTTAGCCCCTCGCTTTAAACTAAGCTAGGTAGGAGGGAAGCTATGGAATGGCATGAGGTTTAGCTAGGAGAAAGTTGAGAGAAAAGTTGGTGAGACTAGGAAGAGTGAGGCATACAAGGAGGGAGTTGTACCCTCTACAATAGAGTTCGGTAACCTACCAAGCCTACCAATTATATAACACAAAATTGTTTGAATTGTGTGTTTATTGACGACGCACATTGTACCATACCATTGAAGGTCCACGCCGTGTAGTTGTGCGTTGCACAATTATATCACCATTCAATTTCCGTGCTGCACAGGCAAAGGTTGCATCACATTGTCCACCAATAATTGCAGGATAGATTCTTGCGAATTTCGCAGCAAGTAACGAGGACCACGAACTCTCACTGCCATCGCGAAACACGCATTCAGCGACATTCCTGATCGCGTCAGCCAAACGAAACGTCGTTGACGGCGGAGGTTACCCCTTGTTTTCCCTCTCACCCAATAAAAGCCTCCCAACCCAAACGACATGCGTTTCGCTTCAAAGCCGCACCGCGAGACAAGCAGCAAGGCCAAGCGACTCGAGACACTTGCAGCCCCGATGCCTGCCTCTCCCATCAGTGTTCGGTTTTCCGCTGGCTAAATTGTGCGGTGCATCTCGGTCTACTGCGCGTTCTGCGAGGTTCTAACAAAAAACAAGGGTTCGTAATACGGTTAGGACAGATTGCCAACTGCGGGACGACCTTTGCTGCACCCCCATCGCACCACTCCGCATTGCACGGAGGAGAGAATACCGCAGTTCAACACATCAGCCCCTTCCCAACAATGCAGCACAGTGTGGATCACGAGAAACTCGTTTTCGTTGTCGCGCCTCGGAGATCGGACTGCAAGTATAAATAGCGGTGGATCTCTCCTATATTGTCGGTATAGTTGTTCGTATAGCAAGGCTACTCCGTAGTAGACGTACCTATGCCGTGCCTACTGTATACCTACTCCGTATTTCTGATCCTGGTAATTTAGGTGGCACCTACTCCAGAAGTACCAGCACTGCCAGCAAGCCCATCCGTTCTTGATCACGCTAAGTACAAGTTCGTTCTCGACCCCTATTAGGCGCAAGCGTTCGACACCCGCAAGCCACTAGATCGATCAGACTTGGCATCGGAAAGACGTCCCCCTGCAAGAAACGCGACGGACCTTGTGAAATTCCCACCCTCGCGAAAGTGACCTTGTCACGTTCGTGACGAAAAATGGCAATTCGTGAATCCAGACGGTCGGTCGGTATCGCTCTTCTGATTACGATCGCCGTTAACCTAATCACTGCTCTCGCTCCATTCGCCGCTGCTGCGAAGAACATTCCTCAAGCCTCCGATGTTGTCATTCAGTCGTCACAAGGTGAGTCCCCCCGCTTAGTTCGAGTGACTCGAATCATTCCCCCTGGGCGACTACCAGTGGGACGCATTGTTGGTAGATTCGAAAATACCATTCCCTCTCTTTCTCCATCGATTTATCTCCCTCTCTCTTCCTCTCTCTCCCTCTCTGTCCTTCCTCCCTCCCTCTCGTATCAACCTCCCTCGCTCCCTCGCTCCCTCTCTCCCTGCCTCTTCACTGCCCCTACCCGTCTCCATATTCCACCCTCCCGCTCGTTCCCGTTACAGTCACCGTGCTGCGCCAGTTAGCGAAGCAGTGGGGCAGTGGCTTCGACGGCTTTAAGACCTGGACCGCATCCGGCGCTCCCAAGAAATGCTCGGCTTATGTGGGCGTTGGATGCGACTCGAGCGGTCAAATCGTGAGCATGTGAGTCAGTCCGAGTCAACTGAGTCGAAACGAGTCAACAACCAGTATAAACGAGTCAATAACCAGTCAAGCCGAGTAAACTGAGTCAAAAAGAGTCAACAGCCAGTAAAACCGAGTCAATAACCAATCAAGCCGAGTCAACTGAGTCAAAACGAGTCAACAACCAGTAAAAACGAGTCATTAACCAGTCAAGCCGAGTAAACTCAGTCAAAACGAGTCAACAGCCAGTAAAAACGAGTCAATAACCAATCAAGCCGAGTCAACTGAGTCAAAACGAGTCAACAACCAGTAAAACCGAGTCAATAACCAGTCAAACCGAGTCAAATGAGTCATAACGAGTCAACAACCAGTAAAACCGAGTCAATAACCAGTCAAGCCGAGTCAACGCCAGTTATGCGTCTACTGGCTTCTGCCTGATTGCTGGTGCATACCCCCCCCTCCCCTCTGTTCCCTGATGGCCAATGATCAGCACTCTGGCAGAATCCGGAGCAGAGGGGGCCATCACGGGCATCTCCAAGCTCACTGCACTCACCAAAATGTAAGCTTTTCCGCATGCTAGCTGTTATGACTCGTGGGCTAAGCGCGGAGCGCACCCGCCTCAAACGCAGCGAAGCCATGATGTATGAACCACTACTCACAGCTCCTAACGGCATGCAAGCCCACTGCCCTGACCAGCTCTGACCAGCTGTGACTATAATGGATGGATGCCATGCCACGCTGAATCACAGTCATCTCGTCCCCTGATCCCCATCCCACCTTGCTTCTCCCAACCTGGAATGCAATGGGAGTGCTCCCCACCCTTTCCCTCGCCTTGATCTTCCTTCTCGCACTCCCCTTTCCCAGCGTCTATGTCTGACCCTCTCACTCTCCCTCTCCATCCCTCCCCTCCTCCCCCACTCCCCAAACTCCCCTCCTCCCCTCCTCCCCTCCTCTCCCCCTCCTCCTGTCCTCCTCCCCTCCCCCCCTTCTCCCATCGTCCCCTCCCATTTTCCCTCCCTCCCCTCCTCCCATTCTCCCCTCCTCCCATCCTCCCTTCCTCCCCTCCTCCCCTACTCCCCTTGAGGACAGCTGGGTACCTGAGACCGACATGGGTAACGCCCGTCGTCCTCTGCATGACTACCTTGTCCAGCAGGGTGTTACTTCTACCACCCAGCTTTGAGGGGGGGAAGTGTGAGAGTACGACCCCGTTACACCACTTGTCCCTTTTCTTATTTCCTTCCTCTTTTCATTTCTCTTTTTGTCCCATCTCATTTGGTTTCCTATTCTCCATTTTCCATTCACCGTTGGTTTATCCTGCTATTATACTTATATCACCGACCAGGCTTGGAATGTACTGGCACGCCATATCTAGCGTAATCCTGCTGTAATCCCTTAAAGCCAATAGCCTCGCGTGGCTATACACAGGGTGATTCTATCTTCTAGAAGGGTCTATTTCCTTAGGATAAGATTAACCTGGTTACCTGATGTACTCTGGAAGTATAAAAGCGCCTTGTACTGATCGATAGTGCAATTTTTCCTCGATTCATTCGATCCTGTGACAGGTGGCATGGACATGAAGTGGCCAAATAAAGGGGGAAGGGAGAAGGGAGTTGAAAACAACATTGCGATGAGGGAAGAGTTGGGAATGTGGGAGGGGTGGCGAGAATCAGAACATGGGGGCAGACGCAAGGTTGGCGCGCCAGGGGAGGGGACGTTTTAGGCCTTTGAGGCGCCTCAAAAGGACATGGGGTGCTTTTGAGGCGCCTCAAAAGTCAGGACATGGGGGCAGGCAAATGCGAGGTCGGCGTGCCAGGGGAGGTGATTGGGCTGAGATACAGTGCTGCCTACTGCTCTAGTACTGGGCAAATGAGTGGGGCTAGAAATATCAGCGGATGGGCTGGGCAACATAAGAGATGGGCCTTGATGAGATCAAGGAAACCGCAAGTTGGAAGAGGCCATGGGGAATGGGAGAACAGATAGACCACACATCCGTGTGTAATGAGTCGATTTTTGAGTTGACCACGCATCGGGCTCGGAGTTTGGGGCACAGACCTTGCACGGGGCAGAGGCAGCAGAGGGGCTTGGCGTCCCGCTTGCCCTGGTGCTCGTGCTTGCTGCACACGTCGCACAGCCACAGCCCGCCGTCTGGTGGCTGTCGGACGCCGTTGCACGCCATGTGCACCATGATGCGGCAGCCGTTGCACTGCAGCATATAGTCGTCCTCGTACTCCTGTACACCCATGCATGCATGCATGCACACACGCACATCACATGCATGCATGCATGCATAGAGGCATCGCGCCATGGTTAGGACTCAGGGCCCAAATTGTCAGGTGGCATCACAGTCACGGCTGCATCCAACTATAATTTCAGCAATGTTCAATGCATACAACCCAATAATAGCAAACAGTTTGTGTCCATTCCACGCACCACACACATCCCACGCGTCACGAGAGCGGTAGAAGTGGTGGTGTAGTGGGTGGTAGAATAGCCAATTAGGGGTATCAAGCGGGAACCCGAGGAAGACATAAGGAAGAGTGCGGGCTGAGAGCTTATCCGCGCCAGTGGCGCAGAAGTGAACAAGGCTGCCCAAGACGTGGAATGCAGAGGCATTACCAGGGGACCCGGTACAGAGAAGGGTCGGCAAAACATGTGGGCGCAGGGAGCGTGGCCACAGTTTATGCTGGTGAGCTACGTAGCGCACAGCGAATGGCCACAGAGAATGGGGTGCACCGGCGTGGACCAAGGAGGTGCGAGCTACCTCCATGACCAGGCCGATGCGTTGCTCAGCGACCCCATCATGCTGTGGGGAGTCTGGCAGTGTGTACGTCTGGCGAATGCCCTCCGCATGACAGAATTGTCCGAGACAGCCAGAGGCAAACTCGTGATCACGGTCAGAGTGTAAACGAACTACAGGCAGGCAGGGTGCGAGCGATGAGCAACCACAGGATGAGAATGGTAAGCACGTCGACCTTCCACTCTAGTGGGAACATGGTGGTGAAACGCGAGAAGTCGTCAACGACGACTAGGAGGAAGCACTCCCGACTAAGACCATGGACCAAGGCAGGGCCCCTGACGTCCATGTGTAGTGTCTGCAATGGTGTTGTGGTGGGAGAAGGATCATAACCCTTCCAACGGATGAGAAGCTCCACGGTGCCATTCCGACGACGGCGGTGTGCAAGCACGGACTCGACCTTGTACTCGGGTTCATTCTGGACGAGGACGGGCGGCGGTGGCGGCGGTTGGCGTCCGACGAAGATCGTGTGCAGATCCCGATAGGGCTTCAGAAGTTGGACATGGAAGGCGTTGTGAATCTTCCAGGTAGCTGGCAGGCGTAAGCGGAAGGTAACAGGAGTGACCTGTGCTTCAACGAGAAAAGGCCCGCAGAAGCGAGGTCGAAGTTCAGATGGGAGATGGCGGATGTCAAGGTTGCGGGTGTCAAGGAGCACCTGGTCTCCCACCGTGATGGTGTGGTCGTTGCGATGGCGATCGGCCTGGCGCTTCTGTTGCTGTTGAATGTCGAGGAGGCGCTTGTGGGTCCGATCCCAAAGCTGATGCATGGTTGTGATGAAATCATGTGCAGGTTGGACTGTAGCTGATGCTGTCGGTTTTTGTGGTGTGAGTGGGTGGCGTCCGTAGCAGAGGAAGAACGACGTCTGTCCAGTAGCGGCATGTGTAGCGTTGTTGTAAGCAAACTCTAGTACGGGCAGGTGCAAGTCCTATTTGGAGATCTCGTCCTTGCAGGCTGCGCGGAGGAGTTGCTCGACAATCTGGTTGAGGCGCTCGGTCTGTCCGTCTGTCTGCGGGTGGTAAGCAGGTGACATGGCGAGTTTGGTCCCGAGGAGAGACATAAGTTCCTTCCAAAACTTGCTGGTGAACTTGGGATCTCGGTCAGAGATGAGTGTGGTTGGAATGCCATGCTGTGAGATGATGTATCGAACGAAGAGTTGTGCTGTTTCTTCGGTGCGTGCTGTCGTGTGTGTCGGGATGAAGTGTCCCATTTTGGAGAATTTGTCGATGACGACAAGGATGGCGTCATGACCGCTGGTGGTAGGTGGTAACCCGGTGATGAAGTCCAGGCTAACCACTTGCCATGGTTGTTCTGGGACAGGAAGAGGCTGCAGTAGACCTGTCTTCTTCTGCTTGCTGCTCTTCATCCGTTGACATGTATCACACGAGGTGACAAATTTCTGAACATCTTCTGCCAAGTGGGGCCAGTAGTAGTGCTTTGCGATACCGGTGAGCGTTTTGTTGCTACCGAAGTGTCCGGCGTAGAGGACGTCGTGGTATTCTTCGAGTAGTAACTGGCGCAAAGGAGGGTAATTGGGTACCCAGATTTTCGTTGATCCTTTCCGGTACGCGATGTCACTGTCCCACTGTAGCAGATGTCGTTTCTCTGCCAAGGGAATTTTGGGGTCGATGGTGTACCCGTGTGTGAAGAGTCCCTTGAGTAGTGGATTCGTCCCTTCGATCTGAATAGCTACAACGTGTGCAGGCCGGCTGAGAGCGTCTGCTTAGTTTTTGTGGCCGGGCTTGTACACGATGTCGTAGTGGAAGTGTGTCTCGAGGAAGTCGATCCACCGGACTTGCCGCCTGGAGAGGTTGGGTTGTTTCTTCAAGTATTTCAGGCTGCAGTGGTCGGTGTAGATGGTTGTTCTTCGTCCTTCGAGATAACATCTCCATGCTTTGAAGGCGATGACGATGGCAAGGGCCTCTTTGTCGTGTTTCGGGTAGTTTAGTTCTGCTCCGTGCAATTTCTTGCTGAGGTAGGCGATTGGTTGCAGTCCATTTCCCTGGTCTTGCATTAAGACTGCTCCCACTGCCTGGTCGCTGGCGTCAGCTTCGATGATGTAGTCGCGTTCGGGATCTGGCAAGATGGCTACTGGTGCGGACGTGAGTGCTTGCTTCAGCTGCTCCACGGCTTCCTGGTGCTTCGGCTCCCATTTGTAGGGCGTATTCTTCTTCAGCAGATTCGTGAGTGGTGCGGAAATTTTTGCATACTGTGGCACGAACCTGTTGTAGTAATTAGCGAAGCCTAGGAACTGCTGCAACTCCTTCACGCTCTCGAGTGTCTTTCACATACGTACGGCTTCGATTTTCTTGGGGTCGACGTGAACTCCTTGAGCGCTCACCATGTGTCCTAGGAAATGGACCTTCTCAAGGGCGAATTCGCTCTTGGACAGTTTGATGTATAACCGTTCTCGTCGAAGAATTTCGAAGACGCGTCGCAGGTGTTCGACGTGCTGCTTCATATCGCGCGAGTAGATGAGTATGTCATCCAGGTACACCACCACGCACTCGTCCAAAAGTGGTCGTAGAATGTGGTTCATTTCAGCTTGGAACGTTGCCAGTGCGTTGGTGAGTCCGAACGGCATTACCAAATACTCGTACGATCCATATCGAGTTCGGAAAGCAGTTTTGTGAATAGAGTTGTCCGCCATCCGTATCTGCCAGTATCCGGACCGCAGATCCAGTTTGGAAAATACCGTATCTCCCCGAAGCTGGTCAAGCAGGTCATCGATTCGTGGTATCGGATATTTATTCTTGATGGTCTGCTTGTTAAGAGCTTGGTAGTCGATGCACATGCGCAGGCTTCCGTCCGTTTTCGGTGTGAAGAGTACTGGGACACTGTACGGCGAAGTGGATGGTCGGATGAGTCCTTTGGATAGGAGATACTCGATCTGTTTTTTCATGTCGGTCAGCTCCGTAGGGCTGAGCCGATATGGTGCTCGGAAGGTCGGCTTCGAACCTGGTTCCTCTACGATCTCGTGTTGATGCGTTCGGTATGGCGGTAGCTCGTTCGGAAGATCGTCCGGAAGAATGTCTTGGAACTCCTTCAATAATTCCTTGATTTTTCCTGGAGGTTCCGAGGTTCTCTCCCTGTCGTTCTCCGCCTCTGTTGCTATTGCCAGGAACCCTGTGTCGGTTCGCTTCACGTCCTTCTCGAATCGTGCGAGTGTCTCCACTGGGATATCTCCTGTATCGTCCCAGTTGGGTAGCTGTACTCTCAGTCCATTGTTGTAGATGCTTGCGGTGCGGTTCACCCAATTGATCTCGGGGTTGAATCTTTTTAGGAAGTCTCGCCCGAAGATCAAGTCAAGCCCTTTGATGTTGGTGATGGGGAGTGCAGGTCTCCAGCGCAGTGGTCCAATTTGTAGATGTAGCACTGCTTCGCCGTGTACTGGTAACTTGCTGCCGTCCACCATCGTTGCAGAGAATCCTGAAGGCTTGTACTCTTCCCGAAGTTGGTCGATTACTGCCTTTTCGCAGACGGTGTATGATGCTCCGCTGTCCACGAGTGCTTGGAGGCGTCGTCCTTTGCAGATGACCTCGAGCACGAGGGGCAGGCGTTGCTCGGAGTACCCAAAAATGGATTCATTGATTGGGTCATAGGGTACATCCCAATATTCCGTACACACCTTTGTGTTGCTATCTACTCCTGAGCTGGCAGCTGGTCGAGGCTGCTTGGAGAACGGCTCTTCTCCAGGGCCCGGAGTTTCCTTGACAACTGTGCGTGTCACTGATGCCGAAGAACTGGATGCATCCGG